CTTTCCACTCTGTTGATGTTTCATTTGCTGTGCAGAAGCTTTTCAGTTTGATATATTTCCACTTATTTATTTTTTCTTTTGTTGCTTGTGCTTTTGGGGTCTTGTTCTGCTTTGCTACCAGAAGCAAACTTAAACCTCCCAGCTAGAATGGACTTTCCCTAGTCCTACTTCTCAGCCCCTATAAAGGCCCAGCTCACTTCCTCTGCTTAGCCCAAGCCAGTGCAGATCTGCTGTGGCCACCCAGCTCTCCCTGGGAGTCTCTCGTGTAAGTAATAAACTTCTCTACATTCTCCTGGTGTGTGGAGTTTTATCAGCCTCAATACCGGAACCAAACTTTGGGGTGGGCCCATCTTGCTTTGCAGGGTGTCTATAAAACACCCATCTTGAGTCAGGAACTCACCCTGGGTCAATCAACCATGTTATGGTATAGTACAACTGCTGGGTGGTGTCCTCCTCTGTGAGCACAGAAATATTATCAGGAAATGAGAATTTTAAAATTTATTCAACACATTGTTTATTGAGTGCTTACTCTTTGCTAGGCATTGCTCCAGGTTAGTGATTCTAAAACTTGAGTGTGCATCAGAGTGTGCATTCTAAAACCGAGTGTGCATTGCAGTCCTGGTTAAATAAATTGCTGGGTCCCACCACNTGAGTGCTTACTCTTTGCTAGGCATTGCTCCAGGTTAGTGATTCTAAAACTTGAGTGTGCATTCTAAAACTGAGTGTGCATTGCAGTCCTGGTTAAATAAATTGCTGGGTCCCACCAGCAGAGTTTATGGTTCACTAGGTCTGGGGTGGGGCACCAAAATTTTGCATTTCTAACAAGTTCCATGGTGATGCTGATGGTCCAGGGATCATACTTTGAGAGGTGAGGTGGTGGCTTTCTAGAGGAAGAGCATTCTGCAGAAGGAATAGCTAAAGCAGAAGGCCTAAGCTTTTTAGAAGGACACCTGGTATGTTTGATAAACGGCAAGGAGGCCAGCATGGCTGGAGCAGAGGGACCCATGGGGAGTAAAAGGATTGGACAGGGAGGTAAGAGGTGAGTGATGGAGTGTGGAGGGAGGGCGATCATGAAAAGACTTCTAGGCTAGTATAAGGACTTTGGCTTTGACCTTGAGTGAAATGGGTAACCAGCAGACATTTTGAGTAGTGGTATGACATTGTGAGATTTCTGTTTTCAAAGGTTCACCCTGGCTGCTGTGTTGCAAATAGACCCTAAGGGGGTAAGTCGGAAGCACTATCCATTGCTGTAATTCAGTGAGAGACGAAGGTGGATTGGCCAGTGTGATAGTTGTTGATGTGGTAGAATGGTCAGATTCTGGATATGTTTTGAAGGACGAGCTAACAAGAGTTCCTGATGGAAATAATATGAAGAGAAAATTAAAGGTGACCCTAAGGTATTAGTTGACCAATTGGACGGTTAGAGTTGGCATCATCTGAGTTGGAGAAGGCAGTGGGTGAAATAGATCTGGGGCGGGGGAGATGAGAAGTTCAGTTTGGGGTGTGTAGAGGTAAGATGTTTATTATACATAGAGAGAGAATTGCTGAGTAGTCAGATATATGAATCTGGAGTTTGGGAGAGAGGTCTGGGCAGGAGAGGGATTTGGGAGTAGTCATGTGATAATTAAAACTGTGGGACTGGATGATATCCACAAGGAAATGAATGTAGGCAGAGAAGAGGAAAGGTCCAAAGGCCTTTTGGGGCATACCAATGTAAAGAGATTGGGGAAAAGAGGAAGAACTAACAGAAGCAACAGAAAAGGAATGTGGCCTTTGAAGTAAAAAGAAAACCAAGTATGGAGTTCTGTAAGCCAAGTGAGGGTCATGTATCAAGGAGAAGGCACCTACTCTACTTAATTATTTTATTAGCCTTTTGGTGCTTTTTTCTCATTTTAATCTAATCCCCTCTAAAATCCATTCTGCACATCACTACCAGGTTAACCATCTTTGACCATGCTTATATCATGGCACTCCTCTGTAAAAAAAACCCCAGTCTCATGATTTTATAAACCTTAGTTTTATCATGGCATCTTTTCATGTTTCAATGTTCACTAATTGAACAAATGACATTATTTTTAAAAGGATATATTTTAAAAGGAAGAAAAAATAGTGAATTACAGTTTCACCAGCCCTCTTACACATCATCTGTTATTATTTTCCATGATAAATGTTTTTGTGACCACGTGGTTCAGTTCTTTCATTTGACAAATGCAGCCCAGAGATGTGAATCATTTACCACTCTTAAGACTTGGTATCTGACTGTCAGGCTCTGTACAAATTAGTCAACTTCTCCATGCCGCAGTTTCCTCATCCGCAGAATGGTACATAAATAGAGCTCACTTCATAGAGCCGTCATGAGGAGTCAGTACATCAATGCATGTAAAGTGCTTAGTCCAGCACTTGACATCCTGAAATACTTCCACCGGAGTTTCAAGGCCTCCTGAACTCATGTGCCACTTTAACCTGTCCAATCACATTGCTTACTTTTCTTCAAATTCTGGCCTCTCTTTCCAGTGTCTCCTAAGCACACTGTGGTAATTTCCACTTACTGGACCTCTTTCAGATTCTGTCTAAACTGCTCCAATCTGAATCTTATCCCTGCTTTAGTTCAGCTCAAGCCGTGCTTCCTCCTTGAAGTTTTCATTTCTCGTTTTCTAAAGCCGCCATGCTTATTATGTTATTCTTTATAGTTTTTCTGTGATTTCATGTTGTTTTATGCCTTTAACTTGATCCCAGTTTCATGGAGTGAGACCGTTCCTAAGCTTTGAAGAATCTACCTCTACAGTTCTTAGTACAGAGTGCAACCTTCAGAAAAGCTTACATTGGTTGGTTGATTGCAAGAACCCACTTGGAAGATTTGAAAAGTTCTGGCCCTATAAGTTATTCCCTTGAGTGGAAAATGGTCTACTAACATGTCACTTACATACTTAATTCAATGAATTTATTTATACTTTATACCCTACCTGCTTCCATAAAGGATCTAAAGCAACACATAACTAATTCGATGAAATTTTATATTGTTATATACATATTTAAGTAGAATGATTTTTAGAAGCATCTTTAAAAAAATATATTTTCCCAAAAGAAATAGGTAAGTCAATGACTTTTTTCTCCTGAGCTTCTAGGCTTCAATAGTGAAATCATTTATTTTGCCTAATGTTAAATTTGTTGAAACATATCATGGCTTCTTGGAACACTTCTCTGTTTTATTCTTTACTCTTTTTAGCTGTGAACCCTTTGTTGCATAGAAGCTCTGAAAGTGTCAGTCAGAACTGGAAAAGAATGAAGTATATTTCCTATATTGTGTTTGGGAAATCTGATTGTTTCTCTTGGAACAGATTGTTCATTATAACAGTATCTATAATAAATGGAGTGCAGTGCCCACATAGATGGAAATGAAATTAATTTGGCTCAGATGTGATCTTTGTTTTGCATATGAGGATTTGAAACATCCTTACAGGGTTTCAAATTTCCATGCAATTTAGAAATAAAAAAGAGACTTCAAAATATGTCTGTCTTTCTTGCCAGTAGCCATCGTTACCTTACTATGGCACTGTAGAACAAAACAGCCAATGTGAGTAACTCTATATGAAATTAGTGTGTGATAGAGAACGTTATCAGAATTCTTGCTTAAAATATACACTCACAGGCCGGCCCAGTGGCACACTGCTACAGTGCGCCGCTTGGGAAGCGTGGTAGCGCTCCCGCAGAGGGTTCGGATCCCACATGCAGACCGGCCGCTCACTGGCTGAGCGAGGTGTGGGGGCAACACCGAGGGTTGCGATCCCATTGCCGGTCCCGGTCCGGTGCGGGTGCGACACTGAGGGTTGCAATCCGTTGCCGGTCACGAAAAAAAAAAAGACAAAAAAAAAAAATATATATACACTCACAATAAAAATATCACATAAGATAATGCGCTTTTTGTTGTAGGTTGCCTACCAGATTGGTAACTATGAGTTGGCTAAGAAAGTTTTCTCACCAGTTTGGGATTATTTTGTTGCTTCACCACTTCAGGATGAACAAGCTGTTATTTGTTTAAGTAACATTATGACTATTACGCAGAGAAGGTAATTAGAAATATTCTTTTAAAATATTAATACACTTACTGAAAATATAGATGTTGGATGTGAAGCCTAGAATGAATTTATTTTTAATTTCATGTTAAGATAGTCCATATGAAACTATTTCTGATAAGCATTATAAGAATATACATTCCAAATTCTCATATCCTTGTTAGAAACTTCCTTGCTAGAGTTAGAAAAAACACTGGGGGCACATGAATGAAGGTTATGGAATAAAAATACCAAATACTAACCAAAGTATCAGTTATACTAGAAACCTCAGTTATACTAGAAGACACAAATATGCATTAGGGACTTTTGTACCAGAGAAAGGTCAAGTTAAGGTTAGGGTCTGACAGGTGGGCTGTGAGGGTAAGAAGGCTTTTCCTTTGCTTGAAGAGGCTCCCAGGATTAGACCATCATCAACTGCAAATAGGCAGGTAGAAGCCATACAGAACGACAGGCCATCCTTTGTGTTCACTGCCATTTTGCTTAAAAAAACCCACAAAGTTTAACAGCAGCCTCAGAAATTAACATTAGTATGATTTCAGGCTTTTTCAACAAGTTCAAAAACAACAAGAATCTTCCTCACCTGCTTGTTAATGCCTGACATTTCTTTAATCAGAAGACAAAACCCTTCATTCCTCAATCAAAGATAATGAACTTAAAAATGCAAATACTAGTTGAGGCAAGGCATTGATAATGTTTATTTACATTAAAAGTATCATTCCATTCAATTAAATGAATACTGAGCATTTACTATGTGCAAGGATGCTAGGTGCTGGGGGATGGATTTGAGAGACAGGACTTAGATTTTATGTGACTCGTGGGCATAAGGAGAGGAAGATTGAAAAGTGACTGGGATTTCTAGAGTTCACTGGCTGGGCAGTCTGTGAGATTTACTAAGGGAACATGAGAGTGGAACAAGTTTTTGGAGGAAGATAATACATTTGGGGATATTTTGAGTTTGGTTTTCCAGCAGGATGTGTTTGTGGATATGAGATGCCAGTAGGTTTATTTATTTCATGCTGACACTCAGGAGAGTGTCAAGGCTAGAGACACAGATTTAGAAATTGTCTATTGAGGTCATCATTGAAATCTTGAGAGTGAGCGTATCTCCCAGGGAGTGACTGCTTAGCAGAAAAGATAGAAGGCTGGAATTGAAACTTGGGTGTTAGTTAGAAAATAAATAAATAAATAAACGTGAGTGTTGCTTACATTTAAGGAGTAGAAGCAGGAGAAGGAACCAAGGAAGAGTATTGAAAAGGAGCTATCCAGGAAATGAAATTCCAGGGAAGTGCATTGCCAAGGGAGTGAGAGTATCACCAGGGCGAGACTGGCCGGTGATTAATTACACGCTAATGCAAGGTCAGGCAGAGCAGTTGCTCAATAAAATGCTGCAGAGAGGCAGAATAGGATGAAAATTAAGAAGAGGCTTAGAGTTGGCAATTAGGAGGCCATTGGTGAGTTGAAGAAAGCCATTTTTTGTCGCGTGATGGGCCAGCAGACATTTTTCAACTGGCTATGGAATAAATGAAAGTGGAGAATCGTAACAAGCAAAAGACCACTCATGAAGTTTGGTGGTAAAGAGAAGAGAAAAGCAGGCAAGAGCTTGAGTGGGAAGGCAGCCTTAAGGAAGGAATTTTGTAGGGTGGAGCCAGTGGAGAGGGAGAGATTGAAGGTACAAGAAAGCACAGGTGGTGAGGGTGCTGTGGTGAAGGAGAACTGAAATTCTCCTGGCAAAAATAATTCTAGAGTTACACGTGGTGGTGAGATGGGTCATCTTCAAGTGTGAATTACTAATGTCAGATCCTTTCCTGTTTTATAGGGTTAGAGGATATAGAAAATAGATACACCTGAAGCCTAAGAGGGAGGGTTAGACACCAAGTAAGGCTAAGGGCAAGGAAGAGAATTTTGGAAACAAAGAAGAAAGACTGAAGATTTCACAGCTTTGC